ATTAATCGATAAATTAATTAAGCCGAATAATGAATCAATTTCGGCAATTAATTGACGAATTAAGCCGAATGGTGAATAGATTTCGGCATTTTAACGATTAAGCGATAGTTAGCAATTAGTATTATACTGTACGATAGGGATTGAACCTACCGCAGCTGGTCACCCACAACAATCAACGATAATCTAGGTAAATGAATTCGGGTTCGATTTTGATTATTAATAAATTTGACGGCCTCAAATATTTTCGCTCCGGGCTTAAATACTTTATAACAACACCACAATGAATTATCCACTATAAATTTTACCCCACGATCAATTCCCCCACGATTAATTACCCCACGATGAATTTTTCGTAAATCGACAAGTAGTGATAAATATTATTCATAATATGTTAATGAGTTGATAGGTGATGCTAATTAATAGGCATATTATGTTAATGAGCTGATATTGCCATCATCCACATTAATCAAGATCACCATCATCGTCATCATCATCATCCTTACCATCATCATCATCACCATCACCGCTATCACCATCAGTATCATCATCATCGTTAATATTATTATGCAAATAATAAAATTTATTTGCACTTGAATGAACTAAGACTAACGATGAAAATTAATTATAGGTCAGGTGGGTATAATAATATTATGTCATAATAAAATCTACCCACACACACACACACACACACATACAAAGAAGCACACACACACACACACCCAAACACATACACAAATATATATACACGTATGCACCTTATTTGACAATTATATAAAGCATGTATGAATACTTATGAGGCTTAATTATATTTAAGAATATGCAAAGACACATTAATTGTTTCATAAACTCCCAGAAATATAGAGAAAAAATGAGAGGAGAGAGAGTGAGAGCGAGAGAGAGAGGAATGAAAAGAGTGAAAGAAAAGAAAGGAAGAGAAAGAAGAGAGAGAAGAATGTGGAAGTGAAAGAGTAATTATTTATGCTAGCTATTAACACCGCCAGCATTTTTACAAACAACATCAATAATAATAAACGTCAGAAGGAATAAATGAATGAATGAGTGAATTATTAAATGAATGAATAAATGTATGAACCATATAATGAATGGCGAACTAGATGAATGAGTGTATATGGATCATAAACTTCATCCAGATAAAATTGTCATGATATTAAAAGAAAAAAATTTATAATTGTTAAAAGAATGTGCATGTATTAGGCATCTGCATCTCGTCTCGTAATAATTTTGAAACGATTCGATTGGATTTGGTCTCGAATAAGAAATAACGATACCATAACGATATATCATGATTTCGATTCGAATTTTCAAAATTTGGCCGGTCAAAAAATTAAAGATGGACTCGAAATTGAAACATCAGAAATCTAAAACTGAAAATGTGCTTATTTCAATTGAAGATAATATAAAATCACTGAATCGGTAACGTTATTCTGATGTGCCAAGCTTGTTGTACCCTTTTAAATCTATAGTTCAATTGAGTAATAAACAGATAGCACAAGGCCATGAGATTTTTTTTTGTACAAAATCTCGTTTGAATAACGAGACGAAAAATAGTTCAAACCGCTATGAAATGTCGATTGATAACGATAATCTATTGATTCAAGACACACAGATGTTTATATGTATGTATGTATGTATGTATGTATGTATGTATGTATGTATGTATGTATGTATGTGTACGCGTATGCTGTATGTGTATGTATACATATGTGTTTGTATACATATGTGTTTGTATACATGTGTGTTTGTATACATGTGTGTTTGTATACATGTGTGTTTGTATACATGTGTGTTTGTATACATGTGTGTTTGTATACATGTGTTTGTATACATATGTGTTTTTTTTCGATTTATTATCAACATCTGCTACATTTTTACTGATAAAGACAAAACTCTTATTATAGTAACAAGAAGGTTGAATTTAATAAAAAAAATACAACGTATTTACTATATAAAAAGCGTGTGTGCGTGTGTGTGTTCTGTGTGCGTGTGGTGCGTGTGTGCGCGTGTGAGTGTGTAACTAGTCAATGAAATGAAACATCACCATAAAAATAATAAGGTAATTTATAACCAATGCCTGCAATATATGGCAAATAAATTAGCTAATAATTGCTGTGATAGTAAGAAAGAGAGAGAGAGAGAGAGAGAAAGATAGCAATCATTTAATGTTAGCAATTATAAAGGATGGTAATCTGTTACTATTACAATTGGAAACATTATATCATCTGATAATATTATAAACATGAGTTAAACTTCATCACTGCTACCTGATAAATTATAGAGGAATAATTTGCTTTGGTGGGTTTTATCAAAGTTATAGATGTGAATCTTAGATAAATCTGCAAATATAGACAACTTTTCTCTTCATAATTTACAATATTTAAAAAAAATAATAATTAGTAATAATAATAATAACAACAACAACAACAACAACAACAATAATAATAATAATAATAATGTCTTACCTTGTCATATTTGCTAATTATTTCAGATCTCTCAATAGCACCCTGTGCCAACAATCTCTTCTGCTCGAATGATAAAGTTGTATCTGGAAAATGAAAAAATAGAAAATAAATTAAATTGAAATGTCAGTTTATTAATTGAAAATGTTATTTAATTAGTACTGATTACACTTGTATGCATGCTTCATTGACACACACACACACACGCACACATACACGCACACACACGCATACACACACTCACACACATGGTTTTTGAGAAGAATTATGAAAATTAGTTGGACCTCTTATACTTCAAATGAGGATTTATTAAAACAGCCTGGTTAACAAAAGAGGAAATTACTACGGATAATCCAACAGGGGCAGTTAAAGTATTTGGGTCACATGGAAAATGTAACAACTACTGGAAAGATTTGTTGTTGAATATCACCACATTTCAACTACTACAAAGTGTTAAAGATTGGGTTTTGTGGAAGTCGATGGTCACCAATGCCCTTAAAGGATAAAGCACGAGAAAGAAAGAAAGAAGTCTAGTCAAGTCTGTGTAATTTGTAATAAGTAAAATATAATAAGTAAGCTAAAACTAACTAACTAAAGAATGCGTCCAATTACATACAAACACAAAAAGAATACTGTCAAGCAGTCAATGTTCAAAGAAAGCTATGCTTTTTAAAATATAATTAAAATTTAAAATTAATATTAAATTAGCATTAGATTAACGATTAATTAACTGATTAACAAATTAACTAATTATTAATTAACAATAGACTTGAATAAAAAAATTAATCTTAAGACAATTTTACATATCAGATCATGAATTCTCAATTTCAAAGTTCAAAACTATTCAACGAAAAAAAAATAAAAAATCTCACCCATCATTAATTACTTTAATTTTAAATAAAAATTTATATTTATTTTTAAAATTTTAAAAAATGAAAATATCAGACAGAAAATAAACAACAAAAGGAATGAATGAAACTGGCGAAACAAATTATGAAATTAATTCAAACTGTTAATAAATAATCGAAAAAATTTATTTACAATTAATATTAAATAAATTTAATTATTAAATAAAATATTAGCAAACTATTTCTGAAAGACATCTTGTTTACATTTAAACATCTCAGGGAATTCCATTTAAAAATGTATGAAAAGTATCAGAAATTAATATATATATATATATATATATATATATATATATATATATATATATATATATATATATATATTTACAATATTCTATAAATTCTACCGAATGTTTGGCGAATTTATAGAATATT